TCTCCCTTAAAAATCCTATAGTACGGGAGCAATGTGGGCTGTTGCTTCATCCTTTTGAAACCAAACATTGTCCATTTTGTCAAGTTCATCCAGTTTGGACCTTAAGAAGGTTTTCAACATCTTACAACATTAATCTGAGTTCACAGTTTACTGTAACTTTATCTTGTTCAAAGAAGTGTCGGCCCCAAATGCTAAAATTGGCAAGCGCACAACATACAGTCGATGTTAGGACTATGAAAAGGTCAGTTGTTCTCTGCCCAGTACCTACCTGAAATTTTGCTTATTAAAGGCCGATTCTCACTTGCGTGCAAGGCATGTGCTCGGCACAGGCAAAGCACCGGCTCGGCAAAATATCTTAACCATTGTATCTTATGGGTTTTGAGGGATGTAATTCACACTATACATGCAGCGTCTCGGCAAGCAACAAACTTTGCACGCGACGTTCTTCCGAAAGAATATTTGCAGGGCATGTGCCGTACATGTTCCGGCAAGTGTGAAAACTCTCCAGGCAGTCAACTTGCAATCATAGGGTTTTTAGTTGAGTTTCGTTAGAATAAGATGAAATTCTTATTGAATATATCAGAGAAAATGAGGTTATTTACGATTTTCCTCACAAAAAATACTCAGACGGTGTCTACAAAAACATGATATGGAAAAAAATTGGCGAGAAATTGCAACAAGGTAGGTATATTTATTAAACATGTATTAATCTATACAGATATTAAAACAAACACAATTTCTTAACAATAAAATTTTGTAATTTAAAAAAATGTCTTTCTTTTTCGGGAATTTTTATTTTCTTGCCCTTCTTCATCCAAGATTAGAACAATTTTTACCAAAATGGAAGTCGCAAACATTATTTCACAAAGCTAGGGAACTACTACCTGCGGCATGTTTGTCGCAGTGTGAATTGTCTCTGAAAACTCGGCCCATGGCGAGTATGTGCCCTGCCGTTGCCGATCCGGTTTCTTGCTCGTCTAATGAGAATCGGCCTTAACACTGTCACAAGTAAAATTGTTGTGTCTCATCGCTGAATAACACAAAAGCTGCATGGGGGATATACTGTTGAATTTCCAGACACACTGCTCATCTATACGGTTTTCCCAGTCTATCGCCTTAAGGAGGTTTATCGGATACGTCTAAAGTCAAATGACAGCTTCTGTAGATTCGCTAGTGACTAAACTAGTAAGCCTTTAGATTTGCCAATGTTGCACTTGGCTGGCGCGCTCGGCTCGGCGTTCGCTCGCTCGCGCTCGGTCATTCTGCTTGTTTGAATGCTTAAGCCTGAAATATCACCTGCGAATTTCAAATAATACGCCACGTCGAGAACCGCGGCGCCGCCGCTATCACCCATATGGAGGTTAGTCAACAACAGCAATTTGAAGGACGATTATTATAAATTATGTATCTTACAAGTAAATAATCGATTTCTACGTGCTGTCATAGGGTTCCTTAGATATCGGTTTCCTATTTATACAAGTTGCTGTGGAAACTCTTCGTCAATTGTTGCGCATTCTAAGTGGAAAGACAAAAAAATCTGCATTCTCATAAGACTTCGTTCTAAATCGTGAAAAGTTATTATTAATATCATCTTTTCTTCATATTAATAAGCTTATATTTATTTTTTTATGAATATTTGTGTGTCAGATATCAGATAAACCTCCTTAACCTTTAGAGGACCGACATTTTTCCTTTGAAGTTCGATATTTTTTAAAGGTATGATTTATGTATACAGGGTGTCTCATAATTAGCTGCCGACCCTGAACAGGCCGATTCTATAATCAAAACTAAGTAAAAAAGTTCATATGAACATGGGTCCGGAAATGCTTCCTAAGGGCACAGGGACCCATTGAAGAGGGAGAAATGGAAATCATTTTTTTGCAATATCTCTCAATCGCGTTGTGATAAATGAATGAAATTTGGTATACACAGCTAAATTTTGATGAGCAATTTGATGGACTAATCCATTTATTTCCACAAGGTCCATTGGGGTGGGTACGGGGGGGCCCTTGGTACTTTGCGTGTGTAACTTTTTCATCTTTGACTTTTTAACAAATTGGACAGCAAATTCCGTTTTCCCGAACTGTTTTACGTTAAAAAGGTACTCTTGTTTCAAATCGTTATCTTTAACGGTTTCTGAGAAAATCGCTCTTGAATTAATCCCACTTTGGTCAATTTCATAGTAATTTAAACAAAAAATAATAATAATAATTTAATACGTAATCAGTAATACACATTATTGATGTAGAACAATTATGATATGATGATTTGTTTATGGCTTTTGCGATGGTAATGCTGCGCGGCAGAACGCGAGTACGGCAGAAGGTTTCCAAACAGAAGGCTGACATCAAGGAGGACATTCCTCACTGTATTCCGCAATTTAGCTGCAACCGTCACTTTTCGAAGGGATCATAAGATGGAAACTTAATTTTGATAACAGACAACAAGCTATTTTAAAAACTGTTCAAAAAACCCTCCACCTTCTCTGATACAAAGTCTTGCCCTACGTGTAACACTTCTCGAAGCTATTAAGATGCTAAAACGGTTTTGACGAATTTCATTGGCTGCATCATTGATACGCTGCAGCAATTCCTCACGGGTATCGACTTCGGTGGCGTAAACTTTTTGATTTAGATATCCCCAGAAAAAGAAGTCCAGCGGGGTTAGGTCGGGAGAACGCGGCGGCCAAGCTACCGGTCCGTGCCTCCCTATCCACCGTCCAGCGAAATTTTCGTTTAGGAAATTTAGAACATTGCGACCACTATGTGCCGGGGCTCCATCGTGTTGAAAAAACATGTTACGTCGTAAATTTAGAGGCAGATCATCGAGAATTTGGGGAAGATTTTCTTGAAGTAAGTTTAAATAAAGATTTGAATTGAGACGTTGTGGAATTTCAATAGGTCCAATCAGAGTGTCGTGAATTATTCCCGCCCATAAATTTATGGAAAACCGTTGCTGGAAGTTTGTTCTCCGAACAACATGTGGGTTCTCTTCTTCCCAATAATGAGAATTATGAAAATTTAATTTTCCATTTCGGGTAAAAGTAGCTTCGTCACACCACAAAATTTTGGAAGCTTGCTCGTTGTCCAGCGACAAAATCCAGCGACAAAATTGCATACGTGGCGCAAAATCTTCTGGTATCAAGCCATGTACACGTCGATAGTGATAGGCATGTAGACCTTGTCGCTTTAATATTCTTCCAACCTGAAATGTTAGTAGCACATCTAATCAATTCTGTTAAGGAAATCTTTAAGATATGTAGTACCGTTGGCCGAGGAACATTTATTTGCCTTGAAATGTTCCGTATGCTAGTCGTAGGATCTTGTTCAATAGCGTCAAGGACCTCCGCTTCCCTATTAATCCTGGGACGTCCTTGACCCGGTGCCTTTCGAAAAGTGGCGGTTGCAGCTAAGTTGCGGAATACCGTAGGGAATGTCCTCCTTGATGGCAGCCTTCGGTTTGGAAACCTTCTCCCGTACTCGCGTTCTGCCGCTGCAGCATTACCATCGCAAAAGCCATAAATAAATATCATATCAACTAACTCTTGTCCCGTAAACTCTTCCATTTTTTTCGCTTAGAACTATTAAATTGGCAATCGGGTTGACAATACTTTGACATAAGAATACCTTGATAATTTTGTTTAAATTACTATGAAATTGACCAAAGTGGGATTAATTCAAGAGCGATTTTCTCAGAAACCGTTAAAGATAACGATTTGAAACAAGAGTACCTTTTTAACGTAAAACAGTTCGGGAAAACGGAATTTGCTGTCCAATTTGTTAAAAAGTCAAAGATGAAAAAGTTACACACGCAAAGTACCAAGGGCCCCCCCGTACCCACCCCAATGGACCTTGTGGAAATAAATGGATTAGTCCATCAAATTGCTCATCAAAATTTAGCTGTGTATACCAAATTTCATTCATTTATCACAACGCGATTGAGAGATATTGCAAAAAAATGATTTCCATTCCTCCCTCTTCAATGGGTCCCTGTGCCCTTAGGAAGCATTTCCGGACCCATGTTCATATGAACTTTTTTACTTAGTTTTGATCATAGAATCGGCCTGTTCAGGGTTGGCAGCTAATTATGAGACACCCTGTATATAAAATAGTCGACATGTCCGGTGATGTTTCCAAGTTAACTGCTGGATCCAAAAGGAGCCAGGCCAGCCCAGCACAGTGCGTAAAATAACGAAAATCAATAATCACAATTTTGATATCAGATTCTCACCATTTTGTCAAATTTTGAGGTATATAATTTGACTCCCACGATTTTGGACAATATGCTCATTGTCCAAAATCGGAAAAAAACGATACCTTATTCAGAAAGGAAAAAAAAATTTTGTGCACACCTATCGAACATGATGGAAAATGCTTGAGGACTCCGAAGGGTGATTTCTTTTATTTGTACAAGAGATGTGGGGTGATTCTCTCCGGGAATGATGGTGAAGAAAAAAAAATTGAAGCTGCTTCTAAAAATTGAAAAATTCTGAGTAGCAGTCATAGATTCGTTGTTTTTAATATGTGTCAATAACGAAAGTCCGATGCTCACCAGTCGATTTCATGACAGTTGAAAATATCATGTTACTTCATCTGTAATTGGTGACTTTTAAAAATGTGTCAGATACTTTTGCCGCCCTCTGTATCATCAACTTCTTTTCTTCTTCTCTATTAACTTTTTTGCCATTTTTGTTAATAAGTAAATTTGTTCTGAATAAATTTTCGACAAATTAATGGTAATTATTAAGGGTAATTATTAAAAATGGTAAATAATATAGTAAAAATTTTTACTTAAGTATGTTCCATATTTATTTAAAATTGTTAAATGTATTTCTTGATTTTTATTAACTTTATATTTAGGTAGAAAATAATTAAGTTTATAATTGAGTATAACCGATCATTTGATAGCAAAGTTGAATTTGTAAGTTTTGTTTAAATAAATAATTTTCTACTCCGAACGAACATTTTTAAGGACTAACACATCTTACAAAACTATTATAGGTCGATTAGACGATGAAAATGTTATTGAAGAACCTGTCATCAACATAACTCCGGTGGAAACCACAAGGGCTTTTTGGCAGTACCAACGGCGTGGTTCGGCTCCCATAGACCTACCTCCGATGTCACGCGGAGGTGAAAGACGAGAACTACTCACAAGACATACTAGTCTAAATGGAAAGTCGGGCCGTAGAAAAAAACAGTTGCGGAGGCGGAGTTCAGGCGGGCCTGAAACTGTTTGCTTTCCAGAATCTCATTCTGAAATCATTTCTCGTCTTTTGCTACGGAGACCTGAGAATCCTGACACGCTGCTGGCTCGGCGAAGAGGATCACTGCCTATTGAAGTCCTGACTGTTGGGCATTCTGGTAAGTGAAATTGTCACAAAAAATTTAAAATGTGTTCTAACAAAGTATATAATGCACTACTGGAAAATATTAGGGTAACAAGAAATTCCATACATTTTTTTTAGTGATTTTCGAAAGGGTGTATCTCAATAGAAAATGGTTTTATCGGGATAAAAAAAAATTCTGTAACTTTAAGTACCTATCTAGTTTCAAGATTTTTAGACAAAAAATTTATTTGCGTTATCAAGAAATCAAAAACAACTCGAGAAAAAAATTTTTTTCATCCTTGGCATTCATTTGAAATGTGCTAAAAATTACTAGTTTTTTAGAAAATCTACTGTTAATTTACAAATATTTATGAAAAGACTAATATTGAGAGAAATTTCCAACTCAATGTACACTCGACGCAAGATAAAGGTTTCCAAAAGGCATACTACTTTTAAAGGGGCGAGCCGGTGGACTATTAACAGGAATTTTGGGAGGCATCAATTATTAGGGCTGTCATATTTTTTTTTGTGTAGGCACGTGTATAATGACACATAACAAAAAATTGCAGGCCTGCAGTATATGCATTATAAAAAGAGAAGAGTATACAGATTTTGAAATTATTTTGTCTTGCCACATTATTTTTCTTGTCCCTGAGAAAATTAATATTTTGAAATAAGAATTTGTGTCATATTCTGCAGAAAGTAGGTAGGTAGGTCATGAAGGCAACAAAATAAAAACATATTGTAAACTACAGTTTTAGTATAACTTATACAGTTTCGGAAGGAAAGGGAAATATTTTAAGGACGTGTTCTGGAAGTGAAAATAAGTAAGTAAGTTCCTAACATTATGGGTCCGAAAATGTTTCCTTTCCGAGATAGATGTCGAAAGAAATTTAAAATCCTGTTTTTTCTAAATATCTCGTAAACGATTTAAGATATTACACTGCCACTGTACTATACAGCTCAGTGTAATATCTTAAATCGTTTTCGAAATATTTAGAACAACAGGATTTTTTTTAATATTACATATCTATCAGAAAGGAAGCATTTCCAGTCCCATAATGTTATGAACTTTATTTAAGTACTTATTTTGATATCTTTGACCTAGCAGTGTTGTAGGAACTAAATAAAATTGAAAATATAAAAGGTAAATAAATTTGTATGTCTAAAAAATAAACGTAAAAAAAAATTCGAAGGCAACTTTTCATTATTTTAAATATTCAATCGAATAGTGTAGAAAAAAAATTGTTTTAGTTTTGTTACATCATTAAAATTAAAGATTAAAAATTTGAAATTGTTATAACTTTCTTATTATAGCTGTTTTACATTGACAATTTATTCATCAATAAATTGACGAAGTTCTTCATCAATTAATTCACGAATTTACTGATAAACAGTGTGGTTTTACACTGCTACAGACTTTGTCAAGTTTTTTGACGTATGAATCAGTCATGCTTTACAACTTTTATAAGAAACTTCAACTGATTGCGGGCACCTATACAGTGTTCATTAATGGCGTACAGAAAAAAACCAGAGGCCCATTCTGTGGCTAAATTTAAGTAAATTTAGTTACGCACACGTAGGCTCTTAAGGCCGCCGTTTCCGAGCTGCAGGGTTTTCAAAATTAAAAAAAAAAATAAAATTTTAAATTTTCTTAAATCCATTCAATTTAACTATTCGTAAGTAGGTAGTAGACGTTTCGCAAGGTTTATTAACTAGGATGAATCGATTTTTCTATTGTAATGTAAATGCAACTCTTTTAGTAGAAACAAGATAATAAAAAATGCATACGGAGTCTACTATAAGAGTTCGCCGATCAGTTCCTTTTTAAAAATGCCAATCTACCAGGAAAGCATTTTTGTACAAAACTCGTAAAATGTCAGATGAGACGGTAAAATATTGCCACACGAGTTTAATGGGAACTCCCCATATAGACAAGCGCTTAAGCCGTTATATTTCAAACAAAATACGATTCAGATTGGAAACCTTTATCTTGCATCGAGTGTACCTACAATAACTCTGTAAATTCCAAAGTCTTGGAAGGAATTAAAGGAACAGGTTTAAGGTTCGTTCTCGGTCTGGTAAAGTCTAATCATGTTCACATTAATCAATCTGATCGGAACTTGACTGTTACGGATAGTATAATGCACACATGGTTTCTTACTTAATAATATTTTACCGAGAACGGACCGAGAATGAACAGTGATCGACATTATAGTGTGGAATAAACCTTATTGTTCCTAAACATTGCATAATCATTATCAAAATAAAAAGAAAAAAATTTTATGGACATTTTTCCACAATATTACATTGGAATTCGTTTCAATTTAAAAAAAAATCAAGAACCTTTTTAAAAAAGTCTTCAAAAATTTTTTATCGCATTGTGAAAATGTAATTTAAATTTTGTAATGTATATTGTTTGCATACAGGGTGATTTATCACGAATTTTGCATACTTCTACCGTAAATCGAGCTCATGAAGGGGATTATCAAAAGACTATTTGAAAGTGCCCGTTTCTGAATATTTGGAAATATAATTTGAATACCAGCCAACAGTAAGGGTGTTTCTAAAATAAATGCGTTCCTTGAAAAGGGTGATAGAGGGCACAAAAACAAGCAACTTTTATAAAGTAACTGATGATCTAAAACATTGTTTTAAATTGAAAAAAAATATTCACATGAAGGTTTAAACAAAGAACCCCGCACAAAACATATGGAAATTGAACACCGGATAATTTTCTTGAAACTTCGTATTTTGATAATCCTCGTCATGCTGATCAAAAGTCTCAATGAGCAGGAAGCCTTACAACCCCTTCCAACCCCCCAAAACCACCCCCAAAGATCAGGGTAATGAACTTAACAGATTACAGGACAATTGGTTTACCGTAATATTTCACTACTGCAGTTGAACCTACAGCCACCTAAACTGTAACTAGGCTTAAGACTACTATCTCCAAAACACTTACCCCCCTTCCCCCCCCCCCATTTCTATGTGCTAATAACATGCTTCCAAACGATGTTCAAAATTCTGTCGCCACACCACGCATTCACTGAAAACCGTTGCTGAAACCAAACTATACAACGTGCAGATTTGCATGACAGAAATAGTGAATGTTATGAATATTTAGTATGCAGTCTCCAGTAAAACAACATTCATCCGTACAAAGCACACCTGGCTTGATAAAATCCGGATCTTGTGCTATTTGATGTCGAAACCACTGGCAAAATTCCACACGAGGCTGAAAATCAATGTTATTTAAAGTCTGAACCCTTTTGTATATGAAAGAGGTGTAATAATTGTTCCAGAGTACATGGTACATGGAGTAGATACATGGTACTGTTAAATACACCCACTTCTCGGCCAATGTCGCGAGTAATACTGCAACATACAACGCACGTGCACAAGATGCACAGGGTCGGCTTACATTTATGGTTAATTTTCTTAATTAATTTTCTCGAAGACAAGCATTTAAACCATGTTGTTTAATAAAAGTTGCTCATTTTCATGCCCTTTATCGCCCTCATGTTTTCAATAACTATTGTAGAGAATTTTTGGTCTAAATCTACAAAAGAAGAAGGGAAGTACACTTTTTAATGGTCAATTGATGTTCACCTTAATGAACTCTATGGTAGAAGTATGTAAAATTCCTGTATTATTATTATTTTAAGGTAAAAAGTAAAATTTTGATACTCACAAGTTAGGACTGCACCTCTCTTTACTTAAAACTAAACCAAGTTGTATTAAAATATTATTAATGTTGTTTCAGTGTTTTGACGGTTACCCCTGTCGCCAATAGGGCCCTGGACATTACCGTCCAACGTGCAATAAGGACCAACACTCACTGACTGACATCCACCTTCATTAGATAGCTCATTATTTATAATCATTAAATCGATAAGCCAAATAATCATAAATGTTCTAGTGTCACTATATGATTGTTAGAATTTTTATGTTTCAAGTGCGCAGTGTATGTGACGAATTAGTAGTTTTAACTTCCTGATAGATATAAGTTAGCTAGTTAATAGTAATTTATTTGCTACTTCGTTTTGCGGTATATAATTTTTTACAGTTTGAGAAACGTACAATTTTGTGTACCTAATTAGTTAATTTCTCTTGTTAAGTTTGTGACAATTATGCGCAATTTAATAACTTTTCTAAGAAAAGGTTGAACTATTTATTGTTTTTATGTGAATCGACTTTTACAAACCCCAAGTATTTTGTTTTTTTTTACTTTGCCGGATATCTGTCAAAAATGTATAATTTAAGAATTTTGATGGAAGTATATGCAAATTTGTTCATGTGGTATACCGAACCCTCTCGAAGCGTAACTCAGTAATAAAAATAATTGTTGAATGTGATTCATTTTGTAATGTGCTGTATACTGTATGTATTGTAGTAGATTGTTGCGGAGTAATAGGAAAAATCCACAACTTCTTAATGGGATTTCTGTTCACTGCAAAACTTCAAACGGAACAGGAAATTTAATAAAATCAAATCTACATTGACAATTACAGATGTTTTACTAAATTTTCTGCCGTTTTTTATAATAATACACTGAATAATCAAATCAAATTTAGAAATAGTGAACCCTTCCATGTAAACAATAGTATGTTCTCTCCCTAAGTATAAGGTGCATATACATACCTTGATTGCTTCACGCTGTCAAAAAATATATTTATTTTATCATTCTACAGCTTTAAACAAAAAAAGAATAATATTTAAAATAAACGATAAATATAATTTGATTGAATATTTTTTAATTCATACTTTAATTTTCTCATTATTATTGTATGTGTACATGCTCTTTATACTTATTCTTTAAAATAGTCCATATAGCATATTTAAAATCAATGTAATAAAATAAAACTTCACTCTAGGACCACACAGTTGAACTAACAGGGTTAATCATAAGATGTGTTTCAAATAAGACTGTTTAGAGAATGACATTTAGGGAGGTATACAGACGTGTGGGTTAAATTTGCCCTATTGTTACGCTTAATATCTGAGTTCAACATGAGTACTCATCGTTTGTGAAATGGTTGATTAATAAATACATGTTTTTAATACGTTGTTTTTATTTCTTAATAGTATTTTGATGGGTTTTATCCAAAGTATCGTAAGTAACATTTTTGGCCAAAAATAAATTCTTCTGAACATCTTAAGTAACAGATGTCTAAATGGATGATTTGCCAAACTCTCTTTTTGTTTGAAAAATATTTATTGAGAAAAAACAGTTTTATTGTTGTCATAAATCCACCTATTTTATTTAAGGCTGAGCCAAAATATCGTTACGCATGTTGTTATTTAGCAAACATATCGGCATGTATACAATCATGTGACGTTGCTTATGATAGTAATTTTTTTATTGATGTTACTTTTAGAGTGTTATTGTGTTTCAGTCTAGTACCTACTAGTAAGTTTGTTTCATAACACCTTTTTTATATCAGCAAATTCAATTGATTTTGCCATTATTGCTATTATTAATTAATAAAATTTATTCGCAGCTGTTCAAAATTTTATCCACCGCCGTGTGAATACAATTGGGCCTGTCTTACCCAGTTTCTTCGAACTAACACAAATGTTTTATTGCTTCACCATAACACAAATGTTGTCTTGCCTCACCATAAATTAAAATGATATCCATCAACTTCGAGTTGCTATACACATAAGCCATTTTTGACACTAACTACTGAAAAACTATCGTAAACACTATCACAAGGACGTTAATACTAATTGTAAAATCGGATTTCAGTATTCAGCCGCTGGGGCCACGCGTATTGCATAAAATGCATAACGCGAATGACACTAGAGACTACAGTTGTCCAGCAATGGTTGAAAGTACTACAACAACTTCAATAATTTTTTTCTCGGAAAAAAATAAGGATTTTACTAAAAATTTTTTTACAATATCAACTATCCATTCTTCATGCCACGTATTCTCAAATTTCTTTGGATAAGTCGTGAACCACCCTGTATAGATTGTGATTTAGTGGATTGTAAGGGGGAATTAAATTCTCTTTCTTCGTTTTAAAATAAAGATTTTTAATTTTTAATTAACGTCTTACAAGGGTGACTTTCATAATAATAATAATGATAATGACAAGACAGAGAAACAAAAATTTCAATTGTTTTTTACATTTCTAACTTTCTTATTTTATATCTGTGCTCGTACATTCGTTCCAATTCTCAACACTAATAAATTTACTATAAGACAAGTTTTCGTCTCGTTTTATCTGAGAAAAATGTTAACCATTATTATTTGTCCATGACAACTATATTTCAATTTTAAACGGACCTTATAATATAACCGAGAAAAATGACAATTCAGTACCTACTTACAGTACAGTACAGAAGAACTAGATTTAATAAAAATATCGATATTTAAAAAACTCGTAGTTTATTTTGTTTTTCTAATAGATTTTTAAGTAATTTTAAAACAGCAAAATGAATGAATAAGTCATTAATTTTTTAACCATAATCGAGTGTAATCACTTCCATTTTTTAATTAGTCCAGCAGGTTAACACAATAAGTGCTTATCATTACTAAGAAACTATCATAAGTCGGCAACTTAAGTAATTTTTTGTGCGAAATTCAATCCAAAGTATTGTAAGGCTATAAACATCAAAAAATCTTACTTACAGGTGAAAATTCTTAATGTTTTTGAATTCAGTATGAGGCATATACACAGAGTAAGAGTACTGAGACTCTGTTTTTGTTTTGGCCAGAGATGTTGGGAGCAGAACACACTCATTTTTTGTCTCAGTCAGTTGAGAACCATTGTTGCAGTGGCGTGTTAAAATAAATGCCGCTGTTCCGAATTCTGCCAGCACAGGTGCTGTTCCAAATTTTTAACGAAATCAAAATTTATGGGGATGGTGTGATGATGAATAGTACAAATATGTACAAGTGGTGTCGTGAGTATAAAACTGGTAGAACGGATGTTCATGGTGAACAAAGGAGTAGGTGTCTCTCAGTTGTGACTTATGAGATGGCGAACAAGATCGAACAAAAGCTTCGTGGCGGCTGTCGATTGACTTTGGACGAGATGAACGTGGTGTTTCCACAAATCTTCAGATCTCTTCTGCACATAAATCATTACTGAAACACCTGGTTATCGAAAATTGAATGCAAGGTGGGTACCAAAACAGCTTACAGATCAACACAAAACCAACAGAATTGCATCTTCATGGGAATTTCTCGAGCGCTCGAACTGAAAGATGAACAATTCCTTGACTGGCGACGATATGTGGGTGGCCCACTACGTCCCTGAGATGAAAAATCAATCAATGCAGTGGCAACATTCGTCCTCACCATCAGTGAAAAAAATTCAAAACCATTGTTTCGGCCCACAAAATCATTGCAACTGTTTTTCAGGACAGTAAAGGGATTTTCTTCAATGACTTTTTGCCCCAGAGGGAAACAATTAATGCTGCGCAGTACTGTAAGATCCTGAGAACACTGCGGAGGGTGATACAGAACAAATGAAGGGGAATGTTAATGAAAGGAGTGTGCTTGTTATACGACAATGCATGTCCCCACACAGCCAACTCCTCAAAGGCAACTTTGGATTCATTCGGTTGGAACATCAACCATCCCGTTCACATCCCTGACATGGCACCTTCTGATTTTCATCTTTTACCTCTGAAGATTTTTATGGGTGGAAAAAGATTTTCTATCAATGATGAGGTCCACAGTGCCTTTAAACAATGAACCCGAAAGGCAGTGAGATTATTTTGACGAAGGTATCAGAAAGCTCATCCCTCGGTTCACAAATACATTGAGATTGAAGGCGACTATGTCGAAAAATAGTGTTTGATGTACCTTTCTGAATATAGATTTTATACTGCCGTTTTGATTTTTAAAAAATGTGGATATGCCTTGTGAAGGCTTGTAAAAATTGAAGCGCTCATTTTCCGATAAAGTACAGCCATACGGTATTTTAGATGATGATTTCTAGACACGTAGAGAACTTTCGTAACAAAGAAATTTCGAACGAATTTTGCGAATAGTAAATTAAAATAGGGGGTGACCAACCTGAGTTCTCCGAAAGAGTTACACATGTATTTGCAAAATATTTTTTCCTAATGAGCAGATACATACAATTTTTTTACTTTTTGCAAAATAAATTTTTCCTTGAATTAATTTTTACGGGCAAATCACAAAATTGGCAACAATTTTGTGAATTACACATCACAATCAATTCGAGGTCAAAAAATGTATATATATTTCTTTGTCTGCGTAAACTGCTATTAAAAACCATTAAAGAACTTTATAAAATGGCCCTCTTGTTCTATCTCGATAATATTAACCATTTCAGAGAAAAATAATTGTTTTGTTACTAGGTTTTCTGTTCAAATCGCATTAAATTATTGTTTTTAAATAAATTTAAATAATTTTCATAAGTTAATGTGTATAAAAAATTCCATCATAGGAACGTACCGTAATATTTATACAGGGTGTTTGGCATTAGAACAGACACAGAGCAAGGCCATGTAGGGGAACCCAAAATGTGGTGATTTAACGCAACTTACATTTACACTAAGCTGCATCCTGAGAAGTTATAAACTGGTATAGTCTTTCCAATATCAATTGAAGAACCAAGAGGATGACAGATGTACAGGATGTATCAGATTTGGTCGCTGACGCAGCAACTCGGCATTGAAATATTTGAAAAACTTGTTCCCATACTTATTTGCCATACCCACATTCAGGTCTGGTCGAACTAAAGGTGGAGGTGGTAGAAATGTAAACGCCCAGTTGAAGAATGTGAGTGCGGGCAAACAAAATACAAATAGTTGTATTGGGCCACTGGGCAATAAATCACAACCGTTGACAAGTGGTCAACAAATTGCACAGCAGTGCATTGCAGCAATGCGGAATTTGGTGTGATTCAGGTAGTTTTAATTTATTATAGGCACCTTCTATTACTCATTGATGTTACAATTGCGAAAGAGAAAAATATTACATGGTATTTTAGACCTTTTGAAAGGGAACAAAATGAAATTAATTTTTGGAGGACGTAAATAATTAAATTATGTTGTTGGCCAAATGAACATATAATAGAAATTTTCTGCACATTATATACAAATTATTATAATTTTTTACGTTTATCAGAAAACTCTTTTAGGGACGCCTGTCATTAAATTTTATTGCCAGGCATTTTTTTACATGTTCAACTGACTTCAGAAAGACTATACACGGTGTGAGTGTACCGAGAGCATTAAATGACAGTAAGTACAGTTGATGTACAGTACAGATGATGCACCCAGCGCCATTAAAATGTAACAGAATTTTTTAACCTGTTGGCAGACTTAAGAAATTATTACTTTACTTTATGGAGAATTTAATTCTAAAACTTTTCTTACTCTCGTTAGTTTTCAACAAAAACACAAATAACTAATAATACGTGTTGTAGCCGTGTTATTTAAAATCATCAAAAATTCAAAAGTTGGCTATGAATTATGGATAAATGCACATTCATTAGAAACAATCAACAGTTGCTGGATAGATTAGGCTTCAAATTTCGACGAAGAATAAATTTATTACTTCTTTAGAGATGTATGATTGTGAGCGAAATCACCGAGTCAAGTCAGTTTATATATTATCTACTTACCTGCAAACTTACAAGACATTAACAAAAACATTGATAATTTACTTAAGAAATTTTTATTTGTTCTGTAACAAAATACAGAAATAACACATAAAATTATCGGTTGGATTTTGCAACACGTTCAAGTTCATCTTTCTTTTTAATTGCGTATGAGTTTGAGGAACCCTGAAAATAAATTAAATTAAATTGTACAGAAATAAGAATAGTCACTTTATTTAAAAGATAAATATAATGTAAATCAATACACAGCGTGTATACCAAATTTGAAATAAATAATACCAATAATTTTAGACCTAAATTTGAAAAATTGTCCAGACTAAGAAAATGCTATTATATCAATTTTTATTTTATAATATCACGTAAATATTTTATAGTGTGATTATTTACAAAATGAGACAGTGGCCACTAAAAAGCTTGGACTAACTGGGAACATTTTTTATTTTATCAAGACAAAAATATTTTTCCTTCTGACCCGACTTCTAATAATTTTTTATTGTATGAATACCAGGTAAACACAGCCTAAATATACTGGACAATTTTGTTTTAGTAGGAAATAGCTTCATTTTAATAAGTTAAAATTTGAAACACATTTCCGGAAAAATATGTAGACTATTTGAATAAACTCTTAATACCTTCGAAACAAAATTGTATAAAAAAAATTAAATTTCACTTTTCTAATCACAGTGCTTTTATTTTTAACTTTCATCCTAGTCCGTGTTAATAAATTTTCCAATAATGAAGAAAACATCTTAATACAGTTCAGCCAATTTCACTTGGCCCATGAGATCCGTAAATGTGAGTGTACACTACATCTAAAAAGTAAGAGGATTGAGTGGTGGGAACTAAAGTTCAATTAATTGGAAGAGAAAGCGAAAATACGGTAATGCCTGATATATTACCTGTTATCTTTAAATGTATTAAAAAACAATTATTTACATAAAGTTGTAGTTATTTATTACCCCCGTCTATCTGTATTTAAAATTTTGTACGAAATTTTTAATATAGACTCCTTTACTTTTGTGGGAATGTATGTTTACTCTATGAGATTTGATAATGAAATTAGCTTCGTGGGCCACTTTTACACTTTGCCACCACACACCTGACCTGACTCACAAAACAGATGAAATAAGTTAAACTGTACAAGCACCACATTTTTTTTTGTGCAAAGGTATTTAACATGCAATGTCATATTAAAATTTTGCTTTATCACACATACCTGTCCCAAAACTAAAATATCTGTAAAATATATTAGAACCAAAATAAACATCGGCAGGCCTAGAAATTTTCTGTCCCCACAAAGCCGAGCCCGAGACCAAATGCTGTTAAAGATTCTTAACATAGGTCACAGATAACCCAAAAAAAAAATCATGTTTTAACACCAGCACAAACCATGAAAGCTTTAAAACCAGGCTAAGGCCTCACAGAAAGGTAGTACAGCATTTAGAGCGAGTTTGACTTATGTAACTTCTATGTTTAGTTTTTCGATTTTCAGGCAGCTATAATGTACATATCCACTGAGCATCAACCAGATAAATAAGCACGTTATTTTAAATTTTTGTTAAAATGGCCGAGTAATTTTGTATTACCGAAGTCAAACTCGCTCGAAATGCTGCTCGCTTCTTTTTTTTTTTCTTTTATTAAATGGAATATTATGATTTGATTGAGTTAAATAAACTATAGTAAAATAATAGTTTTAAGACATTTTTTGTAAACTGAGAATAATTTATGTCTTAACAATGTAATATTATCTGTTAAAAGTCTTCGCATCATGTACAAAATTATATAAAATTGGTAAATATTTTTTCTTGCCAAATCATTAAAAATTTTGTTATAGGAAAAAATTTTAACTGTATAATATCGATAAATTTATACTGTAACTAAAATATGTATGTTAAAAATAAAATCATGAAGAGATAAATCAAATTAAAATTGTTCCGTTTAATACTGATTATTGTAATACAAAAATATGAATTTAATAAAAATGAATACAAAAATAGTTTACAAAATATCAATTTTAATTTTGTTTTATTAAAATTATTTTCTCCAAATATAAAAAAAAAACAGAACTGAACTAATTTAACACCAGTTAACAAAAGACAAAGATGAAGGTGTCTTAGGTCATAAAATCAAAATGCCTAGAATCTAGTAAATAAAAACCATTGTAAACGGATTCCTTTAAATTCAATGGAAAGCAAACTCCCTTACATTTCCCAATTTCCAGATCTATGAATTTTCTCAATAACTTTCGGTTTTACAAATTGGTATACACCCTGAATATTATTTTTAAATTGTAGCAAAAACTTTTTGTATATAGATTTTATAGAGAAAATCTTATACGGTAAGATTTCTGCAAATAATTTAGTCCTTAGCGAAACTACAATATTATTTAGCAAATAAGGTAGCATTAGAAAGGACCACCATTCCTTCAAAAAAGTATCTGGAATTAGTCATATAAAAATTCCTTTTTTGATGAAAAATTGGTAGCACTGTACAAGTACTTTGTTTACTGCTGTTAATTTTGTTACTCCACCTAAAATCTTGTGTTACCAACAGAAATTCTTGTGCTGAATCGTTGAAAATGTTAGGAAAGACGTACAGTAATTCAGTATTATCGAAAACTCAAGTCTACGAATGGTACAAAGCATTCAAACATGGTCGCGAAGTTGTTGATGATTTGCAATGATTTGCGCAACTTTCGAAAAATCAGTGCACGGCCTCATACCCGCACAGCTATGAGGCGTTTGAAAGAAAGTATTCGCTGCAAGGTCAGACTTATGGAAGGAGCATTCTTGGATTTTGCATCACAATAATGCACCATCACACAGAGCGATAATTGTGAAGGAATTTTTGACCAAAAACTCAAAAAAAATGTCATGGAGCATCCACCGTGTTAGCCAGATATGACCCGTGCTGACTTTTCTCTTTCCCAAACTCAAATTAAGTACCACTTTGTAGAACACATTTAAAGTCGATAGAAGCCATAAATAAAAAATCGCTGAAGTTGTTTCTTATTGAAGTCCATACCGGAATATGCTTTTATGAAAATGTTTTAATGACTAGTTTGGTTGGTTAGAAAGTATAATGTTACAAATGGAGCTTATTTTGAAGAAGACAAAATAAATTTTGACGATTAATTAAATTTAAATACATTGTTTCATTGACAAATTCTGGATACTTTTTTGATATAAAAAAAAGGGCTTACCTTAGCGGCATTAATAAGTTCATCGGCTAAACATTCAGCAATCGTTTTAATGTTACGGAATGCAGCTTCACGAGCCCCTGTACACAGCAACCAGATGGCCTGGTTTACTCTGCGCAAAGGCGAGACATCAACGGCTTGCCTCCTTACGGTACCGGCTCGTCCGATACGAGTGGAGTCCTCACGAGGACCAGAATTTATGATGGCCGATACTAAAATCTGAAAATAAATTCAATAAAGTACCATCTTCCAATACTTATTACAACTACTACTGTTAAGTGTGTAAATCAGATAAAAAATAAGTATCAACAAATGTTTTTTTTTTCTGAAGAGGTGTCAGAAATAGTTTATTATCATCACAAAGTTAAATTACTGTTATTATGAAATTAAATTATAATTATTTTACTAACCTGTAACGGATTCTCTCCAGTGAGAAGATGGATAATTTCAAATGCGTGTTTAACGATACGGACTGCCATCAATTTCTTACCGTTGTTACGTCCATGCATCATTAGAGAATTTGTTAATCTCTCTACGATGGGACATTGGGCTTTACGGAATCTCTTTGCCGCATATCGTCCAGCAGAATGAGGCAAATATTTAGCATTCTTCTCTTTTACTGCAATGTAATCCTACAAAAAAAAAGGGTCCTATAAATCTAATATTAACACTTTTATACAAAAAACCCATTTATTGTGAAACTCAGATAAATATGTTCAACAAGGAATTTCTGAAGAGGTGTCAGAAATAAAAGGGTTTTCATCATTATAAAACTAAAATGTTAAATTTTAATTTATAAAAACAAAACTTACACACCTGGAGTGACATATCTGATACTTGCACATCATCGCAGTTCCATCTACCGAACAACTTAATTTCAGGTAATTCTGCTATTTTCGGCGCTATAACAGCCGTCTGTATTTCATCTGACCAATCTTCAACCATGGTTTCGATTTGTCTGAAATAAACAATAAGAATTAATTTAACCTCATTAAATACATGTCTTAAGAAAAAACTATCTAAAATATTCATCAGCATGTACTTTATTTCAACAAAATTTTCTTCTGCCAAGAGGTGTCAGAAAATTATAGTAGTTCATCATTTTAAATCTATATTTAACACTAGTTCTGAATAGTTTATAAGGGCATACAATTTCTTTAAAGCAAACTAGAAACACGTGTTATATTAAAATCATTATTTTAAAAGCTTATATGCACAATATGTAAACACCTTTTTCAACGAATATGAGAATTTATTGTATAAGTATTTTTAATATGTACTTACCCTTTGGTTTGTCACAATTATTTTAAATTATTTATTTGCAACAATAGTCACGTCTCCTACTCGGCGGCATGAACGGAAAGAGCCATTTTAGAAAGGAAGACAAGTGGCGTCATCTCACTGCATTTGTGAAAAAATATGAAACTAATAAAATTCAAATAGGATAAACTGAACTACTTCACGCATGTCTCTATGTTTTTCTTTTTCTACTATATAGGACCGTCTATAGAGACAAGGAAAGGAAATTCACAACGGATTTTTTACTAAACTAACTGCATAGGGAAATACATTTTTTGAACGACAATCCAATAATAGGCGGGAAAATAAAAATGATTGAATATGTTTGTATTTATTTCTGACTCTACAGAGCGCAATAAATTTACTAGAAAAAAATAACAAATTGCTATTAATTGTATGAAGTATTAAGCAAAATTGTAAAATAAAAAATTAAAATTATAGGTCGGTAGATAATAAAATATCCTGAAACTAAATTAAGGTTAAGATAAGAATCTGGGTCTGGGATCTGTCAGATTTCCTGTCTGATATTTTGTCACTGTCTGTGTCTGTCTTATGTCAATGTCAATGTGACGTTTTAAGAACGGCCAGTGTTCTTTTATTTATTTACACACCTGAATAATGAAAACGAAAAGCAAAACTTCTTTCTGTATGATTAATTATTAATCCACATGCGTTTCAATTGGTTATCGCGTTTATTGCAAGTAAATAACTTGCCTTCCTACGTACATTGACATGACGTTGGAGGACCCGTTCTTTGTCGTCAAAGAGTAAGCAACTACAATCATAAAATATTGCATGCGAATTTTAGAGCGGTTTCATTTAAAGCACTGTTTAATTTCATCGCATTTAACTATAGAACATTGCATGAACAACTGGTTGATTATTAAAATTAGTAAGATTTAGTAAACTGAGTGTGGTATTGATTATTTTGCAAAAAAAATAGCAATATATTAAGTAATTTGTTATTATTGAAGTGAGGTCTTTAAAGCACTAAATAAAACAAGAGGATTGTATCTCCGATGGATTGAACTCCAAGATGATTCACTTTGCATTACAAAAGAAGAAATAGACTGTACCAATACAGAGCTAAAAAATTCTCTGCGAAGTATAGAATGGGACCTAGAGGATTTGGAAGACACAATCGATATCCTTTTTTTTTTAAATTAAATAGCTTTAGTAACTTTTCTTTATTTAAACATTATATTCCTTAACTTTTCACACATATTGTAGAAAAAAATCCATCTAAATTTAAAATCGACAACAAGGAAATAACAATAAGGAAGCATTTTATAGACTCTACTAAAAGTGAAGTAAAGGTAAGTTACATTGTTTTACTTATTTATTGCCCAAATAGAAAATAAGTACCTTTAAAGAGGAAAATTGCAATTCTTAAATTATAACTGCTTAATAAATTTGCAATGAAGGTACCTAGATCAATATCATCCTGTACCTATATATTGATGTTATTATACTGACCTATCTTTAATCAGAATAATAATATAATATCTCTCGATGTGTAAGTAATTTTTTTCTATCCAATTTCATAGCTGAAAGTTAGAAAATCTTGTTTGACATTTGAAACTGTTCATACATATCCTTTACGAAAACCAAAATTTAATTTTAGATTATATAGTAGGGTGTGTTTATGTACAAGTTTTAAAATGCAGATATTTTTAAGTCTATAAGGAAAATAATTCATCATAACCCATTTTTGAGTTTGTAACAAATACAGGGTCTTTGTACAAGTTGATTTGAGTGAGAAATATCTCATTCAACGGTACAACACATTTTTTATTTTATTAAAACTTTAATTGGCATAATGTATATTATCTTTAAACTGTTCTTTTTTAGTCTATGAAAGAAAAAATCAACATGAACAGAAATCGGGATAAAGATCGAACAGCAAGACAAGTAAGTCATTAATTAAATATAAATAGAATACTTACCTCTGAAATTTTAGCCTCTTCTGGACAACAGCCCGGTTAGAGTTGCCAACAGTCATGGTACTACAAAGTATTCAAAACTCGAAAATGATTTAGACAGTCCACAACGACAGTTTTTAAATGATACTCTTTCTCAGCAGCAGTATTTAACGAGGCAACAAGAGGATCATTTGGAAGCCATTAGTGATTCACTAGGCTCACTGAAAACGGTGTCTAGACACATAGGAGTAGAACTTGATGAACAAGCGGGGTAAGAAAATACAATTTCTTTAGACACATTAAGAAATTTTAGACAAATAAGTCTAACGTTAATTTTCATCATTACAGGATTATTAAATTTAATCTCAATTTTCTTTCTACAATTATCATGTATATTATTAAAGTACTAAAACACTAGCGAGCACTTAGAAATAAAGAAAGGTTGTAGTTTTTTTTTTCAAATTAATCTGTAACAGATTTTGTGTTGTAAAAGAATTTTTCATAGGGTTATATTCCGAGACCCCACGTTTGGCCGACTATAATTTGCGTAACTGTTTTTTTGCGCAAAATTTTACTTGGAAAACAATTGAGATTGAATAAATTCATGAAAAAATCTCAAAGCTAAAGACCGAGGGGCTTCGTCCAAGGATTTATTAATAGTCCAGTCGGTATCTGTTTAAAAAATAGGTTGTATGGATGTTTCATAAAGTAATGCTAATTTTTGTTGGAAATAGTTCTAAATATTATGTAAAATGATAATTGCGATATGCGCCCGCTGAAAAAGTTGTGCATAATTGTTAGCGTAAGAAAATGTAAAAAAAAAATTAAAAAACACGGATTTCTCTCCCTTTTTTCATGTATAACTCAGAGAATATTGACATTAGAGAAAATAGTCAAAGGAAAAAAGTTTCGTGTTGAGATTCTCTTCAAAATAAAAGTGGTTCGAAATTTTTATGTGGATTATTGTTGTGCTGCAATACAGTATAGACCGAAAAAAATATTAGCGAAAAAAGATGAATGAATTTCGGACCTTGACTTTAGAGCAGCCATATAAAAAGTATGGTTCTGAGTACTTCATGATATGGTAGTATTGCAGAAATTTTTTCATGGAAATCGACCGGGTAGATTTCGCACAATTCAATTGTTAATTAAGAAAATACAGAATTATACTTATTTTTCAATTCTATCACAGCAAAACCAATGATTATTTTGAGCTCCCAATTTTTATACATACCCTTTGGAGTCTCAACTATCAATCGCCATTTAAAAATTTTCGATTTTATCCATTTTAGCAACAATTACAATTTTTTCAAAATTTCTTCAAAAAAATGCTTATAAACATTTAGAGCTGGAGCTCCCATATTTGCATATTCTTCAAATGGGATCAAATAGATCAAATTATTTATGAAAAAAATCCACTTTTGATCTTGTGGATACGAGGAATTGTCATCGAGATATGAAAGCTCAAAATTGAAGTGAGTTTATGGCAAAACAACGTACTGTACAATAACAATCAAAAGTAATTTTGATTTTTTGAAGTTTTTAGACTTTATAGACTATTTTAGACTAGACTTTATAAGTATGAAAATTTATCTAAATCGGAAATGTATTTTAACTGGTCTGATGCAAAAAAGATTGATACGTTTCACAGGAATCGAGTAGAGTCAAAGAGTGTGGAGTGAGAGGACTATGCAAGCGTTGCAGCATAATTCTCTCGCTCAACTTCATTCGATTTTTTCTCAGCTTCTACAACAGATAAATAGATGATTTTTTTTAATCGATAGAGGAAAGCAAGATCAATTCAAATTTTATGTCAATTCAAAAAAATCTTTCAATTTAAATTTATATACAAAATAAAGAACAATATAGTAGATAATATATGGTATAATGTATACAAAATCCAACTACGAAAACTTTTATTAATATTTCACAAAAATGAAAATGGACTTGTTAAAATAAAAGAAAATTTACTAAGTACTTATGGAAAGTAGAAAAATACATTTTTATTTTCTTGCATTATAAAGTCATATTTACCTTTATATCATGAATATGCAGCAATTGAAATCTCAAGAAGTAACGAGCACAAATTTTCGAATTATGAACAACTTTTTCAGTGGGCTCATATCGCAATTATCATTCATGCAATTATCATTATCATCATAATATTTAGAACTATTTCCAACAAAAATTAACGTTACTATATAAAACATCCATCCCGAAACAGACACCGATTTTTTAATAAAAAAATTATGTAGAAAATTCATGTGTGGTCAATAACTCAGAGGTAGAGATACTTATTAAGATTATTTCCCAAATGGAAAATATTCATTTTGTTCTTTTTCTTATGTGTACAAGAGGAATGCAAGACGTATTTAAAAAGTAATAATATTTGATTTTATTTTATATATTACAACCTAATAGCAAATTATATATTTATTTCTACTTGTCTTTAGAACAGGCCACTGATAAAATTAGGGGAAAACTTGTTTTTACGCGGCCATTTTGAACCTTTTCTTTAAATTCAATTTAGAACTGGGATAAATGTTTTCAAAATTAATGTGTTATTTTTTTGAAAAGTGGTATTATATACTTATATTTATTTCAAATTTTACATGTTACAAAAAAAATTAAGTTAATTTAGGAACCACTCTGTACACACGATGCTTACAATATATTTTCTGAGGTACCTCAGAAACGAGGATTTCAAGGACATATGTTATAAGAAAATATTGGTTATTTTGAATGAGGAATACACTCATGTTTTTCATAACATTTTAATTTTAGGATGCTTGATGAATTTGGAACAGAACTGGAAAATACAGACTCTAGATTAGATTCGACGATGAAAAAGGTTGCCAAAGTTTTGCGAATGTCCAATGGTAAGTTTAAAAGCTTTTTATTCATTCCGAGTAAACACTTATTATGTACAAAACGTTATCCGTGGTAGATTTACAGTCAGTTTCAAGATTGATACATTTAGAAATAGTAGACGAATTGTCAGTATAACTCAAAATGTTTATTTTAAAGCCAGTAATTTAATAAAAATTGTTAATTTTAAAAATTTAACAAGGCAAATGGCTAATATATAATTGTGAATCTAGTGAGGTACTGTAAGTAACGGTTAAGACTTAATTAATTAATAAATAATAAAAATAACCGATATTGGATAAAATATTTTGCAGTTTTCAAAAAATAAAAAATTCTTGAATAAATAATGAAAGTCGACACTTTATAAATTGAAAAGAAGCAACATTTGGATCAATTGCCCAATTTGACCCCAGCCATTTAGCTGGTCTCATGCTAATGAATCATCTTGTAAAATATCAGGTTTTATTTCTAATAATATAGAAGAATAAATATTGTCTAAATTATATATGTAAAGTACCAACTCTGCAACTGAATATTATAATAAAGTTTTAAAATTTAATTTTACACAATAATTTTTCACTTCAAATTGTGTTTATTAAACGCATAGGTATTAACATTTTCTCTGGTAACTGACAATTTCTGAATATAACTAAATTATATTTTTTTACAGATCGAAGGCAGTGGACAGTTATTATTATCCTAGTTGTAATCCTTATAATTGTGATAACTTTGTTTTTTATACTGTGATTATTTTTACACTTTACCTAATTTAATTTTACAAATCCAGATTAAGTACAAATTTTACTTATGCCTACAATGTTTTATGAAGCACAAAATAAAATTTATTTTAGAGTAAGACAACTTTCAAGTTCAAGTTACTTGATGCAAGTGTTATAGCCACAATTTAAAAGGTCATAAAAAACATTAAAACACTCAATTTTAAAATAATATCTTATTGTGTGTGGTGGTGTTTTCTAATTTTTAACGCAGGATGTCAATAAATATTACAATGTTTTCGATAATATCAATAAATATTGAATGTGTGAATCTTGAGACTATTTAGGCAAAGATGAAAAGAAATCTATATTTTTATGATAGCTTAAAAAAATATTAACTCCCCCCCCCAAATATCCTCATTTCTGCAGAAGTAAAAGTTCCAATTTGTTTCTCCCACAGTCAAATGTTTTGTTGAAGACAATATTCTTGGTTCATTGCAATATACACCCAGGTTGGGTTGTAAAAATGGATATTGGCCGATAGCATTAAACAGAAAAAACAGTTAACCTACTACTTCTGACAATTAAATTCAATTTGTTTATTTCTTTTGCATATCTGTTCTCAAGTTTTTCTGTTGTCTTTGTTTACAAAATAAATGAAACATTTATTTATCGATCCTTTGGAACTTAAAAAAAAATAGTGGCTTTTTGAGTACCTACTGTTTGATTTATATCTGACAGCCTAACCTATAGATCAAATTCATGGCCAACTTATTCGGTTCAACAATATGTAAAGTAAATTGAAAATTTTATTTGTCTTCATTCGTATATCATGAGAACGGTGCGATCTGGATTTTTGTCTATATTTGTGATTGGTTATGAAAGTTTGAGGTTCTTTGTTGGTTAGAAGATGTATGTTCATTAGTCATGGTTGAAGAATAATGAGTAGATTATTTATCAATTGCTTATTAAGCAGGTTTATCGGTACGTCTAAAGTCAAATACGAGTTTCTGTAGATTCGCTTGTGACTAAAGTAGTAAGCCTTTAGATTTGGCAACGTTGCACTTGGCTGGCGCGCTTGGCTCGGCGTTTGCTCGTCTGCGTTCGATCATTTTGTTTGTTTGGATGCCTAAGTTTGAAATATACATCTATGTCACACCTGCGAATTTTAAATAATACGTTACGTCGAGAATCGCGGCGTTGCCGTTATCACGACAGCAGTTTGAAGGGGAATTATTATAAATTATGTATCTTACAAGTACCTAATCGATTTCTACAAGCTGTCATACGGTTCCTTAGATATCGATTTCCTATTTATACAAGTTGCTGTGGAAACTATTCGACAATTGTTGGGCATTCTAATTGGAAAGACCAAAAAATCTGCATTGTCATAAGACTTCGTGCTACATCATGAAAATTTATTTTATTAATATCTCGTCTCTTAGGTATCCAAACTAGTCATCATTTTTTTTGAGGTTTTTCTTCATGTTAATAAGCTTATATTAATTTTTTTATGAATATTTGTTTGTCAGTTCCATATCCATAAATGCATTACTTGTGAAATAAATATATATTTGTTTCTCGATCTATGACAGAAATAGTAAGTGTAAGGGACTAGTAATATAATTTAGTATCAGTTTGACTTCACGTGACAAAAAAATATGAGTAAATCTGTTCAGACAAATAAAAAGCAATAAACAATAGAGATCAGCCGGTAATAAATAAAATATTAAAAATAAATTTATGAAAAAATATTGTGTATAAAAGTTTGTTTTTCTGCTTTAATGAATGATGTTCGAATTTACATGAAATAACATGTTTTTATTTAAAGAATTGTGGAGATAACACTTATAAATATTGGGGATTTAATGTTTACTATTCGTACAAGTGGTACTGTCATAAAAATTAAATATGCGTTCTTGCCTAAGCTTTCCATGATGGACTTTCCGTTTCATTAATTCTCTTTGACCTCGTGCAAATAATGTAGAATTCTGGATTGTACTGCTGTTATTTGATGATGTGTAATAAAATTTTTACCAAAAACTGATGAACATGTTTGTTACTGAAGTTTGTCTGTTCTTGACTCAAATGATGTACTCTCTTAGCCATTGATTTTAGAAACATTCTACATCACAAATTAGGTTTATGTGTTAAATCGATAAATCTTTAGGATGTCCTCTAAACAAATTTTGCAATAATTGTGTTCCAGAAATCACTGATACAATTGCAGTATAATTATTATATTTTAATATTATTTTTATGATAGTACTGATAAATGAATAGTAGGTAATGATTATTCCCATGTATAAAATACTGGTAGACGTGTGCTTCCTGGGGAGTAAGTATGCGGAACACATATAATTATTGCATAGTTAACAAACATGTTGGAAGAGTAGCTGCATTTGTGATAATTCCCAAACCATGTTCCAAGCCTAAAAATATTTATTCATTTTGTATCGATACCTTTGAAGTTTCTTAGTTTATTGCAAAGTTCTAACAAATTTTAATGCTGGTTGCATGCTTGCTCTCCAGTTTGATTTAAGTTGTGTTAAGACTGTAGCTATAAAAATGTATTTGCCACCTTCAAAGTAACAGTACACTTCCAAACTAAAGTTTATATGAAATAAGTTACCCCTAATGTATACGGAAGAATAACAAAACTGACTTGTTTTAACTAGTCGCATAACATTACTTACAAAACCAACAAACGAATTCATCTGCATTATAATTAATAAAACTTCGTTCAATAAGCGCTTCTTCGCAAAGTCAAGCATTCGTTTGAGGGGCTTTAACATTGAATGAAAGAGTCCATCTGTTGAATATAAAATGAGAAAATTAACTTTAAATGAACGAATTTGTATATGTTGTATGTATATGTGCCGCAAGATGAACTATTAAATGCAAAGAAATAACGAAACAAGTGCGCGCCAGTAAGTGATATGTAATACTAATCTTTTGAGAATGATTTTAATGACTTTCGAAACTGCTAATATACGATGGGGGCCCAAAAATACCCGGAAGAAATTCGCTGCACACAGCACTCTTGTAGTTCAGGCTTCTCCTGTTAGATCGGTGTTACGTAACACCACCAGACTCGGTCTGCCAAGTGGTGTCGCTTGTTCGGCTCGATTCAGTTGTATCGCGCCACTGAGACAGTTTTCGTGACGACTATTTCGACCTTTTCGATTTTTAAAAATGGTTAACATTGGAGAACAGCGTGCGGCATTGAAGTTTTGTTTTCTGCTCGTTAAAGTACATCGGACACTGTTGATATGTTGTCTACAGAGTATAAGTCACGGAAAGCAGCGACACGCCGCCTTTTGATCAGGAGTCAACAAACGGGGAACGAATGTAGCCTCGATCCATCTTATTTGCAAATCTTACGCTAAAATACATTGGAATACTCCACGAAGGACCAGATAATTCAGCAAGTTCATCAATTGTACGCCTTTAATCCTTGTACACGAACTCGTGACTTTTTTCTACGTTTTCATCAGTTCTAGACGTGGAACACCGATTCGGGAGTTGAATGTCTTGGATCGATATGTCGCCCCGTTTGAATCGCGAATACCTCTCATACACTTGAATTGTTTTCAAGGCATGTTTCAAATGCACTTTTATCGAGCACAATACAAAATTTCAATGCTGCACGCTGTCTCGAATATTAACCATTTTAAAAAACCGAAGAGGTCGCAATAGTTGCAGCACGAAAACTGTATCGAGGGCTTGCTGCAACCATCTCAAGCGACGCGATTTGGCAAACTGACTCAGGAGGGGTTACGTAATATCCATATAGAGGGAGAAGCCAGAATTACAAAATAAAACAAGAAGAAAACTATTTTTTAGTTTTTAGACAAATATATCTGCATCTGCAACGGTGATATAGTTTAGTTTTCACCACTGAGATAGGTGAAGGGAGCAAAGTAAGTTCCTCTAGATACTTAGTAACAACACATTAATGATCTGCTTTTCCCATTCATTCCTTCTTGTTATAGTGAGCTTTGAAATCGTGCCAAGGCCAACTCTATATGTGCATAATGTCGCCACTATGCTGTTATATTTATTTATTGCAGAAGTTATAATTATATAATGACATAAATTAAATTAGAGATGGGCCACTGATAAGTTTCCATATTGGAAAGTTTCCAAAATGGAAGAATCCTGTTCAGGGAACATTTCCATATTTTGTATTTCCCGCTAAATTATAACTTCATGACCACCTTAGGAATTGTTTGTACATTTTAAAAAAAATTGTAGATGGTAAGTTAAAGTTACTAAAAAAATAATTAGTACAAATAATTGCTGTAAATACATGTTGAAACAATTTCCAAATTTCCAGATATCAAGTACCTACCTGCAAAGCCAAAAAATAAGTCTATAATATAATTAATTATAATCATTAATGTCTCCACAACTTACAACAAGTATATACACATGTTAAAAAAAAAACAAAAAACAGTCTGCAAGAGGTGGGAAATATTTCCAGGGAAAGTTTCCAAGAAAATATTCCCTGGGATTATTCACGGGAAACATTTGGCAACATTCACGAAATATATTTTTGGAATATTTCCAAAAAAATATCTTCCCGGGAATTTTCCTTCTCTAAATTAAATTGTATAAAAATTTTGTGACAGTGATATGGTGTATTGTACTCGAATATCTTTAATCGTTTACCCTGCACAAACTGTTACAGGTAACATTTTTATCAGTGGATATTTACCAGTAACTAGTTGTTTGTTGTGTACATAATTATATTCTATATATTTTTTCAAATTGAGAGTTAACCGTAGCTATAATGGAATGATTTTGATAATTATTGTCTGAAATTATGTACATATTTTGTGTCATAATCTTAGTTTTTCCTCTGTTTGGGTATTTTTTCAAGTGTGCAAATAAATTTAAAAATTAATCAAATAAACCTTTGCCCCAAAAAGCAGCAGTGAAGGGTTTAATGGAATTATTTCCGTTCAACAACAAATTTCAGGCTAAAAAAAGCATAGAAAAATAATGCAAAACTCAGCTTTGTTAGTTCACGTGTTGGAAATTAATCTAATTTCATACTCAAAACTAACCACATAGTGATGTTATTTTTCATTGCTTTTTGAGTGTTTTATTTTTACAAAAACAAATCCATTAAAACAACTTTTGAGTGCTAGGGTTTAAGGGCCCCATATTCTTTAAATAGTGTTTTCCGCAGAGACAAATAATTTCAAACATTTAATAACTGAATAATCTAAAGCTTATCAAATAATAGGAATGTTATGTCATGCCACCTGAGTATTTTCAAAGACGCCGCAGTAAAACGAATAAACAGGTGCAAAAAACGATCAAACCATCAAGGTTTTAGGTACTGAAATCTACTAACTTTTTTATATATAACTCTACATGTAAATATTCTTATAACATTTACTTGCTTAGTCCTACATATAAAATTGTTTATTTTTATTTATAAGTACGTGAAAATAATTCTTAAAATGTGGGGTTAGGATAACAGCAAACGCATGTTTTACAAACGCTTTTTTCTTAGTTATTATTTTATTTGAGTAAATTTAAATGGTAACAATGAATAAACAAAACATCAAGGATTTTATTTTTGTGCTTACTTTTGTTCTACACGTTTTACTTTTAAAGATTTCAGTACCTAAAGACGCCAGAAATTTCACTATTTCTCAGCCAGGAATATGGCCACCTTAAGTAATTGTTTAATTTTGAAATTAATTTTAAAAGGTGGTAATATACCAAATAAAAATTTAAAAAATAGGGTTAGTGACTAATAACTGTTTATTTGATGCTAGTGTGTTCTTAAAATATGCAATCATTTTGTTGATATGATGATATAATTAAATTGCAGAACATTTTGGAATACATCTGCAGAATTTAGTAACAAAAAATGCAAAAAAGACAATATTTGCATTTTTTGTAGGTTTATCTCTGAAAGTAGTCAAAATTGAAATCTGAAAATTTGTATACAGGGGTTTATCAAAGAGATCTATCCATTCAATGAAAATAATGTCAACTTTCTCGCACTTCCGGTTATACTCTGTTAACTCTACATCCATTAATGTAGTATATACAGGGTGTACCATTTGAAATTTTTGAGTAAATTCAACTTCAACGTCACAATATTGGCCACACGTTTTTAAACACTGGATGAATTTTTGCAAATTTGACATAAAATGGTTGAATTTCATTGCTTTTAAATTATCCATACCAAATTTCATTAACACTATTTTCATTGAATAGATTTTTTTGATAAACCCCTGTATACAAATTTTCAGATTTCAATTCTGACTACTTTTTGAAATAATCCTAGTGGGCCCTCTTCGTGATACACCCTGTATATTAATATTAATTTGTTCTTTGACTGCAAAGAAAATTCACAAACGTAGAGAGTACTACTAAGGTGGCGTTAATCCAGCAATAAGAAAATTTCAATCTGTGATTGGCATCTTCAA